GACTCAAGTGGCCAAATCTTGATAGAAAAATCATTGAAATTTTGACTTGTGTTCTTTCTATGAACCCATACATGAGAACATTTCGAAGCCTCAGTGAGCTCGGACCACTCAATAACTATAAAGTCACTTTGAATGCTTCAGTGGAATTTGACCAAATGGCGTACAACCAACCGACCGCATCAGAGGTTTGAATATAAGTATTTGGTTTCTCCTTTTTGAAATAAAATTAGATACATACACTAAATAAATTGTGTTCTATAATTATGTTAAATTGTTGGTATTTGGGTTGAAGGCAACGACAACATAACTGCATGCAAGAGAAGTATTGTTGTGTATGGGAGGTCTAATTATAGCCAAAATATTCAATATTACTTTAGTTATTATATGACCCGTTGTCCTATCCTTTGTTCTTTCCCAATGGTGAACTTGTATGGCATTCTAATATACCTAGACATGGAGTATGCATGAMTCAAAGTGTTAATGATGATGAAAACATGGAGAAAGATTTAGAAGGTACGGACCATGTTGCAATATTTACGTTTTAATTAAGGTAACAAATATCTGCTTAAACATATATGTCGTCCGTTTATATTTATTTCATAACATACACATCACCTAGAGGTTGATGTGAGAGGCAACAAGAATATTGTGACGATGCGGGAATACTATAGTTATAAGTTCCAGATTCGTTCGAACGAGAATGTGCTTCTATTGGGGGGAAGGTTGTTACAACAGTTCGTGGTAGATATCTACATCAAGATTGAGACTTCACGTTTGGATTTTTGTCAGAAAAACCAAGCTAAAATAAGAGCAGCTTTATACCAATGTGTTGTGGATTGCGTCAATGTCAGTGAGGTAATACCAAGTAGAATCGGACAACGGGTTGTGTTGCCTGCAAGTTTCATCGGAGGACACGTGATATACGACGACGATTTCTTGATGCCATGACTTTAGTGCAAGATGATGGAAAGCCCGATATATTCCTTACAATGACGTGCAATCCAAAGTGACCTGAAATCCTTGGAGAGTTATTGCCCGGTCAGACCACACCCGATCGGCCAGACTTTGTTGCAAATCGTGCCAAACTAGAGGATATGAAATACCAACTCTTCAAAAATCACATCCTCGGTAAAGTCGGGGCATATGTTTATGTCATCGAGTCTCAAAAGTGTGGTTTGTCGCACGCACATTTTCTTCTGATAATGGTACCCGAACACAAAATGACCAATCCAGATCATTACGACAAGAGCGTGTGTGTTGAAATTCCGAACCCAACCAAGTATCCCCAAATGCACGAACCGGTCGTCCAACACATGATGCATGGTCATTGCGTCAATTACGACCGTCCAGTCCTTGTATGCAAGGTGAGCCGAAAAAATGTCGTTTCAGATATCCTAAACAGTTCAATGACAAGACGATGCAAGCTGAGAACTAAAATCCATTATATCGACGGAGAAATAGTGGAATAAATGTGAATGTACGAGGCAATATCATGAATAATAGATGGGTGGTCTTGTATAACCCGAAGCTATTATTGATGTTCACTTGTCATATCAATGTTGAGGCTTGCTCGAGTATAACATCTATGAAATATATCTTCAAGTATGTTTACAAGGGTCACGACAAACAAGTTGTTCATATCAATTCAGAGGAAGAAAGGGTTGTTATTAATGAAATTAGAAGGTTCCAAGATGCACGATATGTTTCCCCTCCCGAGGCAATATGGCGAATTCTTAGCTTCACACTTTCTCAAATGCACCCTTACATGATGGCGTTGCAACTCCATCTCCCTAACAAACAGATGGTTAATAATAGATATTGTTGATATATAGAGAGAGAGAGAAACGAAAAATGTTGACTGCATTTTTTTGATAGAAATAGAACAGACAAGAATGCGAGACAATATTTGTATAAAGATTTTCCAAAACACAACACGTGGAATTGGAGCTCATGTCGATGGAATCCCCGACAACAAGGATCAATGAAAGGTCGACTGGTGTCTGCAAATCCAGCTGAAGGAGAGCGGTTATACTTAGGCCTACTCTTGTCTCATAATATTGGGCCTACTTGCTTTGAAGATCTATACGGTTTCAACGGCTTATTGCACCCTACATTTGGCAAAGCATCTCTTGAGAGAGGTTTAATAGAGAATGATGACAACTTATGCCAATGTCTTGTAGAGGCCTCCTTATTTCAATTTCTTGCTACTCTTAGGAGGTTATTTGCCACAATGTTGATTTATTGTGAGCCAGAATATGTTCGCAAGTTACGGGATAACCACTATGATTCACTTTCTGAAGATTATATGCGACAATGTGAAAGTGTTAATCGAGTTCGTAATATGGTTCTAACGGATATCCTCGTTTTTCTACAATCTATGGGTAAGAGTCTTGAAGATTTCGATCTTCCAATGGTAGATGCAAATGCCAATTTTCAATCTGAAGAATTTCGTGAGGTACAAGAGGAATGCTCTATAGTTGTGGAAGAAGAACACTTGCATTCCCGAGACTCTCTCAATTCCTACCAGAAATATGCATATGATAAGATCATGAGGCACGTACACGATGATTGTCTAGGAGTGTTATTTATAGATGGTCCGGGTGGAACCGGGAAGACATTTTTGTAGAAAGCTTTGCTTGCCAACATCCATTCACGTGGTCTTATTGCTCTTGCAACCGCTTCGTTGGGTGTTGCTGCCAATAATATGCCTGGAGGGAGAACAACTCACTCAAAATTCCTCTCAACCTTGATAATAACTCAATGTGCAACATAAAAAAAAACAAAGTGGGGTTGCTCAATTGATTCGAGATACAAAAATAATCATCTAGGACGAAGCGTCGATGGCAAAGAGGCAAGCGGTGGAGGCGCTCGATCGAACAATGCAAGATATCATAGGGGTGGCACTCCCATTCGACGGAAAGATAATGGTTTTGGGTGGTGATTTTAGACAAGTATTACCGGTCGTAAGGCGTGGAACCCGAACACATATTGTAGATTCTAGCTTACGGATGTCACATCTTTGGTCAACGATTAAAAAGACACAGTTAATGCTCAATATGAGAGCACGCACTGATACATGTTTTCATAATTTTATTAAGAGTCGGTGATGGAGATGAAGAAGCGATGGACAAAAGTTTTTATTCGCATACCAGATGACATGACCATTCCTTATACTTAGGGGTGCTAATGGGTTGGGTTGATCGGGTTGAAGACATTTGAACAATCCAACCCAATGCTTGTGGTTTGAAAAATCTTAACTCAACCCAACCCAAACCAAAGTGCAACTCAACTCAACCCAAATCGTACGGGTTGGTCGGGTTGATACTTTGGTACATTAAAATATTCTTCTAACCTTGAATATGCTATGTTTCTACTCATAATTTCTTTTCATCATCAATCATTTGATACAACTTATCCATACTTCTTACGTATATCACATTCAGTTAATTTTCTCAATTTACACACACACACATATATATATATATATATATTCACAGAAACTGAACATATATACGAATGAGTTATATAGCGATGTGAATAGATTGAAAATATGTGTATATGAATAGCGTACGTGATAGTGTAATTGTATAATGTGTATATATTAATAAAAATTCAACGATCATATTAAATCCAAGAAATAAAAAGATACCGGGTTCATCGGATTGGGTGGGTTCAAATAATAGTACCCAATACCTACAGTTTGAAAATTTTACAACTCGATTAGACATCGGGTTGCTTCAGGTTGAGTTATTTCGCGTTGGATTGGGTTGGGTTGGTCGGGTTTTTGAGCACCCCTACCTATACTGATAAAGGTAAGTCAAAAGATGCGTTGATTGACGCAATTTTTCCATCTCTGCAAATCAACGAAGCTGATTCGGACTATATCATTTCGAGGGCGATATTATCAACTAAAAATGAGAATGTCGATGAGATTAATGATCAGTTGATCGACAAGTTTTCTAGAGATGAAAAAATATATTACAGCTTCGACGAAGCAGAAGATGATAAGAATAACATTTATCCGATAAAGTTCTTAAACTCTTTAACTGTTAGTGGGTTGCCTTCTCATTACATTCGTCTCAAGATTGGATGTCTAATAATACTGTTACGAAATATCAATTTCTCGAATGATTATGTAATGGCAGTAGATTGATATACAGAGGCTTTCAACATAATGTCATCAATGCAGAAATAGATGTTGGTCCACATACTAGAAAGAGAGCTTTTCTACCGAGAATTCCCTTATATTCTTCCGAAGACAACATGTTCCCATTTAAGCTGAAGAGAAAACAGTTTTCAATTCGACTTAGCTTTCCTATGACAATCAATAAAGCTCAAGGCCAAACAATTCCGAATGTAAGTGTATATCTACCGGAATCAGTATTCTCACACCGACAACTTTACGTGGCGTTGTCCAGAGGGATATCACGAGGCAATACAAAGGTGTTAGTGAAACCTGCTAACAAATTCAATCGTGCCGAAGTCTACACCTCAAATGTCGTCTATCAAGAAGTTTTATGTGATGAATAAGGTATAAACAACAATTATATTATTACACATTTGGTACCATCTGTTTCTATTAAAATTATTGAGTCGTTTTTTGTAGAAAATATTTACAGATGAGTGCATCACGAAAACTAAACAATTTGGATATACGAATGAATATTATTTACAAATAATTGTATTTCTTTGTTCAATCAAGAATTTCAAGTTTTGTAGTGAGCTCTGAATATATGGGTTCAGAAACCCAATACGTATGCAATTATTTTTTTATTCGATCTTACTAATACATCATATTAACCTTCAACTTTATATATTAGTTGACTTGCAAAATAACCACGCAGACTCATGATTCAAGGTCAAACTAATGTTTCAGAATTGTGATTAATCGGCGCTGCATTATACAAGTATACACTAGTGTGTGTGTGTGTGTGTGTGTGCATATATATATATAGATATAGATATATATATGATCTGAATTTGGTAATTAAATGTACAAATAATCGACAAACATGCTTCCATCTTAACACAAAACAAAATTGTAACAACGGGTTTAAAAACTATTGAAAATAAACATAAATAACAGACGGAAATCAGTTGCTGCTACCTCCACTCGAGACCAAGCCTCTCAGGGAAGTTTTCTCCTCACCAGTCCTTTAAAAAAGTCAAAACTGTACCCCACATTAAGTCAAAGGCTATTGTCACTTGCAAATCTTCCACAGATAAGATAATCCATAATTTCTCTAAAACAAGTAATTAAATGTTCAAATTTATTGTATATAAAAAGATTACTTTCAATTTTAACACATACTCCATTTTAGAAATTTTAACATCGATTTAATTATCAAGATAATCTACATATTCATCACCTCAATACACTTTAAAAGAAAAAAACTTTATACAAAATAATAATACATTTGACAAAGACACCTAAAATAATATTTCTCTCTCCTCAATATTTCTAAAGATTTGAGCCTTCTCTCCTTGTTTTCGCTATTAGAGAACCTTTTGGAATAGTTGTTGGAGCAAAACAATCTCCCAAATTCTCTATTTTTAGAGTAAATGTTGGAGATGCTAAGTAGACTAAAGCAGAGTGAAGCATTAGAAGACTCCAAAAGAAACGCTACATAGTAAAACCAAATCAAACATCCCAGTATATCCCACCCAAACCAAAGCTACAAAGACCGTACCTCTATCCTAAAAGACAAAGGTTGTTTCCGATAAGACCCTTGGTTTGCAAACAAGTCCTATATCTAATGTAAAACCCAACCTTATGCAACAAAACTCCTCAAGCTTTTGAGGGTTGAGAAGGGATGATTGAACTTTCTCTTTTATATTCACAGAGATTATTTCCTTGTCCTTCAAAACTATTTGTTGTAATAATCTAAGAAATAGATGGTTAAAATGCCTTCAAAACAACCATGTTTCTGGTTTAAAATTACCCATTAACTTCTATTCATACTTGTTCAGTAATGTCAATCTAGTAGTTTTTGATTGGCATCAGGCCCTAGTTTCTAATCATTTTGTGCTGCCTTCAAGAACCATACCAAGTCTTTCCTCCATGCCATTAATTTCAGCAGAGTAAGCACTATATGTCAATATATGAAAACTGTTTTAGGGGAACCGTAACTTCTTATGGTGAAACCAAGTAATCCCTCCACCACCGCAAACCCGAGTGTATATGCTACACTCAATGCAAGTATGTGCCACAAAAATCAAGTTCTATCCAAATGGCTTTTATAGATACATGCCAAGTAATTGTTATTGTTTTTTCAAGTTAAAATGTAACCCATTTGACACTCGAAAACTCTTACTTTTTCTGATATTTAAGTATAGAACATAGTACCTGTTGCCATCTGGATGAAGTTCACACATCTCACCGCTATCAGCAATGGCCAGTAAATATCCAGAAGGTGTTAACCCCTACAATGAAGAAGAAATAGACATGGATATGTAACTAACAAGAGATGGTACCAACCAATTACCATAATTTTATGCATTCATCAAGGAAAGCATGTTCTATTATATATTTATTGTACACTGCTTGGGTACAATTATTGATTCAATCAAGATAGCAAAATCGGAAGTATGTCACCAAGATTTCTTGGTTATCTGATCAACAATGATACCCTCACCTGAACAGTAACTACATTTTCTATCAGCAAATCTTGATCTTCGTTTTTCTCCTGGACTACAATCCTCTGCCCACTGCACAAATGATGACCAATCATGAACTCCAAATAAATCAATGTCACAAACTAGCATTGCCAGAAAATGGAAACTTTCTCATGAATTCCATTTGGGAACAATTGTGGGGAACATGGTATGCTCTCAAATCATAAACACTACAATAAACAGCCTCGTGTATTCCTTATTCTCCATCACTTTTCTCCCCTACAACCATATTTCCTTTTCATTACTTCTCACTGCACTGTTTAAACTTGCAAATTAGTAATGACACTTTTTATAGCATATATGATGCATGTAATCTTAGTGTTAAAGGGAGGTTCATAAGGCCATCTCCAACCAATGTGCTAAAGAGCTAAAGCGCCATAATAGAACAAGTCATCTCCACTAGATGTGCTAAAGTGATTCTTGGTAGGTTAAAATAGCCCATGTTGATGCACATTAGCACACTTTGGTGGACGTCATTTTAACACGAATAAAATTTAATTACGATGCATGTTTTGTTTTAATTGGTTGAAATTTTAATAACTTAAAACGTTGTAAAACGAAATACTAAATTAAGGGATATAAAAGTATAATTTAACTAATTTACTAACGCTAATTAGTATATATAAAAAATTATTATGGTTAAATAAAATATATAAATATAAATTTAACCAAGTTACTAGTGCTATATTTCGAATATGTAAGTGTTATAATTTAGCACTAACCAGTTGAAGATGATTATTGCTATTATTATGAATAGCGTAAATTTGAGTGTTCAAATTAAGCACTAGTGCTATATTTAGCACTTTCAGTTGGAGAGGCCTGAGATAAGAAAACCAAAATATAAAAACAAATGGTTCTCAAAACTTATAATGGACCTGGTTTGTTGTCTAATCTTGCGAAAAATGTAACAAAACTCGTCCCCTTTTGTTCGATGTAACTACTTCCTCTTTTCCAATAAAATATATAATACATAAATACCAGATGAATCATAAAATATTACCTATGGAGCCATGCCTTGTAATATAGTTCCTCAAGGGGTTGAAAGCCTGCATTTTAAATGGTAGAAACCATGAATCACGTTTTCTACTATACCCAGAGGGTGAAAAGCTTAGATTTTCTTTAGGCAAATTGTGTGAACTAACCCAACATTATACAGTTCATTCAGGAAAAAAAAAATCAAAAACTACCCTCTGACTTCACCCACTGGGCTAACTGAATAACCAAACCCTGTTAAATAAGCTGCACACGACTTACACATGCCACTTATTGAAGGGTTCTAGTGTCATTTGGTTACTAGCCACTGCAGCCAACAGCATGATCTTTAGCTTCATTCTGACGACCACTGCCTTTGATGGCCAAATTAGGCACAACATGGCAGTCAAATTTTGAAAACAAAATCATAAAACTGATTCTCCTATAACCTTGCACTAAACCCAGAAAACAATCATAAACGAGGGTCAAAGAAACTGCAAACAGATCATCTGACTTTTTTGACACACTAGACTATCTCCTTTCTTGATTTCTTTCTCAAAGCCATGTAAGAAAATGGAAGGGCAAAGGCATAGAAGTGTAAGGTGGTCATTAAATTAATCAAATACTACACTATATAGCTACACAAGGCCACTTCTCCCACTATGGTTGATTGGACGTACACAATTACCAATGCCAACAAACACTTTTAATGTGGGTTGAAAGTTGAGTAAGTTGTTTGAAAATATTTCAGTCTGTTATGAACCGGTTCAATTGAACAAGTGAAATAGGAACAGATTGTTAATACCACTCTGGATGCTTCAATTTGACAAGAACATAAGGGTTTCTGGCTATTCAAGAGGCCAAATCTCTCCTAAGACAGACACTCAACAACTTTCTGGATACCTCTACTCTCCCTCCACGCACCTATTTTTTCCATCAATTTATTACAGAATACAATATTGGACCTGAGCCGGTATACCGATGCATGACACTACCCCGCCCCCCAAAGAACTCACCTTGTCCTCAAGGTGGATAGAAAAAATAAAGGAACCGCTGCTGCCCAGTTTCAACATCTCCCCACCCCGCTGCCACTGAAGTCAAATCTTTCCAATTAAGGTCAGTGTCACCTTCATAGTGCCACCGAACTCTGAAATCAGTAACCTCTGACTGACTTACCATCATGTCTGCCTTTTCTTTCCATGCCAGAGTTGAAGTCAGGATGGTTGTGACAAGTCTGTCATTCATGGAATTCTACCTACTCATAGACTCAAAGTTGCTGCTCATTCTAGCAAGCACACTGCCTGTCACATTCTCTACTTCACTGAACTGTTTCGTTCTTGCTATGGACTCTTTGGTCCGCACATCCTCACCAGATGTCTCGTGCATGAAAATTTTTGCTTCTTGAGAAGCTTTGACTCGATCAGAACAAGGCCTAATGTTCCCCAAATAAGCTGTCTTCCATCCCGATGTGACTCCACCATCACTACGACTCCCTCTTCATCTTTCACAATTATGCCAAAATCTCGAAACCAATGTATAATGGGAAGATTGATTACAACCCTTGTATCTTTGAAAGATGTTGCCACATTTCGTGCCTTTTTTTCCATTTTCCATAGTTGAGCCTCTTGTCGGACAGCCTCTTGCAGAACCACCTGATTATGATGAGTTATTGATGTAGGGACCTGCCTTGGATAGAATGGTACGTACCACTTCCCAGATCATGGAGTGAGTTCTAACATTCGCAATCATCATCTCTGTAGGATTCCGATTAAAGATAGTGTCTGATCATGGAGCTGCTATTGAAAATAGGAAACATGCATTGGATATCAATCACCTCCTTCCTGGATTCATCCTTCTGCGAAATCATATCCCTGGCCATTTCTTCAAACACACATACAAGGGATTCATCCTTCTGTGGGATCATATCCCTGGCCATGGCTTCAAACACACAATATGAGGACATTTGCAATTCCCTAGCCATGGATTCAGTACTGCTCTCATACCAATTTGTTATGAACCAGTTCAATTCAACAAGTGAAAAAGGAAGAGATAGTTGATACCACTACCACCCTGGATGCTTCAATTTGACAAGAACATAAGGGTTTTGGCTATTCGAGAGGCTAGATCTCTCTTTTGAAAGACACCCAACAAATTTCTCCACTTTCCCGCCATGTACCTATTTATACTATTAATTTATTCTGGAATATAATATTGGGCCTGGGCCTAGATATCGATGCATGACACAGTCCTTTTGCTAAAGTAAGTGTCATGTGCAAGTCACGTGTCACCTAGTCAAAAGAGAGAGGATTCTGTAATGCCATGATTCACGCTTGCTTACAGAGATTAACCTGGCATATCTTTGAGGCAAAGTCGGTCTAAAGGTCTTTCTGCAAAAAGAATGTAAATTCAGGGTTTTAATGCAATTCACCATCCCCCCCCCCCAAAGGCAATTAGATTTTTTAAGTGAAGCAAAGAAAAGTAAACCTTTATTATGTGTCTCCTTAGCCCTTGCTTCTCTTGAAATGAGGCACATGCTTTGATTTGGTGACAAGGAAACTAATATTTTGAATTTTTAAAACTACATACTACAAAGCAAAATTTCAATCTCGGATGATCAATCCTAACATTTAAAAAAATTTATTGTCCAGAAAGCATAAGAACAAGTGCATTAAAAGTGTAAATGATATTAACAAGAACTCTACAAATACACATTACCAACGTACTTTAAAGTATTAATATATAACAAGACTAGTTATCAATACAGAACTTGAAAAAGGAAACAAAAAAAGTAGAAACTACAAGTGTTTGGAAAGAGCATTATATGATTTTGAAAAGCATATATAAGAGAGCTCAAGAATTCCCATTTTTGTTTTCTTTTCAGTTTTTGGGTCAACCAAATAGAATTACTGGAATGGTGATCATTTAAGTCCATCCCTTTAAAAGATGAAGAAATCATATGGTTCACCCACACCCAAGTGATGTGAGTTGCACCCAATATGAACTGGAACCACATCCAAACCAAGTCCCACAAAAAAATCATTTTTTAGTAAATGGGCCAGAATCATGTTCATACCATGCCACACCAGATTCATACTCTACGCAAATACAAGTCAAATAGAAACATCATGAAAATGCCATCTATGAGGAAGATTATACCAAAGATCTCAAACACAAAGAAAGTTGGGTAATTAACGAGAAAAGGCACCAACTTAATACTTGAAAGTAGTCATAAATTATACAAATTACTACTCACCTTGGTTTATTAAAATATGGAAGAGGTATTCAAATTTATTAAAGAAGGCCGATGCAATGTCTTCTCTCCGTAATCGATACCCAGAAGTCAACTTCCGTAATGCCGCATTCAAGGATGTTGTTGGCTTATCATTGTCAACATTCAAGCCTACCCCTGCAATTGGAAAAGGATGGAGATCACAATAATGTAATCACAAGTGATCCACATAGAGATATAATTGTGGAGGACTATAAGCAATTTCAGAAGTTTGGTGTATACTAGTGCCGTATGCACATTCTACACATAATATAGTTCCAGTGGGTCATGTCTGGGCAGTATTACTTCACAAGCAGAGATGAAGTTCTCAGCACATCTAACTTCACTATGATATTTGAACGGTTCTGAACCAGCACTATGAATCCTTTCCCCCATATATTTGTAAGGCCTCACCTTTTGTTAATCATAAAGCAAGGCTAACACATGTTGATCATTGTTGAGAAGGCTGGTCTTTTTGGTCTATCCTCTAGTATAGTATCTACGGACATTTTCGTCTCCACTTTTCCTAACTACTGCCTGTAACAGTCTACACAGATATACCATATCTCTAAAGCAGTTTTCTCACACTCCTCTAGAAAGAAAGGCAAAGTTGAAAGGTGAATAAAGAAGAAATATGAATGCTCTTCCAGTTAACCATTAATTGCAAAGTAAAAGCACAAAATATCAGTTGGAGTGAGAAGTTTACCAGCACTAACATTAAACTTCTTAGATCTATATGTTGACGTACACAAAATTCCTCCCACTTTAAGGCCATCTAAATAAAGATCATTTGGCCACTTTATTCTGACATCCAGAGGTGGGATGCCCTGAAATTGATATTACAAAAGACATGTTAATATTAAAAACCAGTATCAAGCAAATGATTAATTCCAATTCATGTTAAATGATTAGCTTCCTTGATATCATCTTACTGATCAAAGTCACAGAATCATGGCTACTAGATAAAGATGGTCTTAAGAAATCAGCCAAAGGGTACGATAATATTAATATTTGGTGTTCTACTGTTCTTATTGCGGTTTGAGGTTTATGTTTTATATTCCATTGATGCTCTTCTTGGTAGAGGTTTGTGATTCACAGCCATGTCCGAGATAAAACAAATATTGGCTGAAAGAAAAACCAAAACAAAGAGGGTAAAACCTACGGGTGTGCCTGTAGCCTATGCATACAACCAAGAGACAAGGGCATCTATATGCACATTAGGAGAGATCCACAACATGCCTAGTGTAGCACGCTAGCGACACCAATTGATATAGGTGTAAATTTAACACAGAAAACAAAAGCTATAGCATATATGTACATAGCACCAAATCAGCACTTGTGTACACCACATTAGCTCACACATACACAAGACGAGCACATGAACACAACATCAGTTTCCATTTAGGTCTTTGAACATGAAAATGTGAATAGATTATCCTTGAGACATACTTCCAATTCAAGGAAGATTCCTGACTATAAATGGACCCTAAGCTTCAAGCCTACCGCATCTTTTACAACCCTAATAACCTCTTACGACTATTCCATCTCTTGCTCCTTGTTCTTTAGGCCTTTACATCATAGTACTTCCAGCATGTAACCATTCTGCTTCCACTTCATTGCATGAGCATCGTAAGGGATCAATGGCCTCATTCAAGGTTGGTGTGGTTATCATGCAATGCATGATAGCTAAGCATGAAAGGTTCTCTTGGGTGAATATATACTTGAGCTTCAAGTTTCTTCACTCTTTTGATTACTTTGTAATGCTACTTGGTCCACATCTAACATGATACGTAAGAATTGTTCTTTCAATGAAATTCTTCGACTAATCAAAGTAATGGTTTCATTTGTGTTGGTTATCAATGTGCAAATACCTGTACTAATCATGTGTGCCTAACACTATCAGGTATGAAGGCGGAAGACGATGAACAATTTAATGTTTGACTACAGGAAATCAATTTATCTACTTACAGAAATAGAAAGACAGGGAAAGACGGAGAGAGAGAGAAGAGAGAGAGAGAGTGAGAGCTCATGAACCAATACTGATTCAAATTATGAGTCATATCATATTGATGACAATGAGGTGGATGTCAAAAGTAACTGCATCCTCACTCACAAGCAACCATTACAATCTACACACCAATGTCAAAGTGCCAAGTTCCCAACCAAGGGCATTTTAACAAACAGTTTCTCCACTTTAAACCATTTTAAACTCATTATAGGTTCATTATATTGCCTCTTTCATGCCATCAGCAACATCCTCGTTCCTTCCATTAATTGACAAGTTCATCATCTGTATTTTGACATTAGTGAAACTAATATTCCCAACTGCAACTCCATCAAGCTGGATTACATCTCTATATTGTATTGAAGGGTATAGGGTGTTTACGGTTTGGATAACAAAGTTACATGGCTTCGCCTTCTATTTTATTGCATTTATAACCAATTTGATGGGGTGATGGCAATTCATACATATCCATGTGCACTCTACTAAGTCACTATGCTAATAATCCGCTCCTCTTCAGGAATTGAAATTACAATGTTGGATTCCAAATGCAACACCTGATGCTCCCTTCTCCATCACTTCCTCTTCATCACCTTTCTTTATGTCATCACACCTTTAAAACATCATGAATCTATTGCAATATCTCATTCATGTTATAAAACTTAACCTCACTATCTTTTGCAAGTCGGCTATTCTGGACATAGTAATAAGCACTTATCATGACCGCAACATAACTTGGCTACCTTACCATTGCATTACAAAAGTTGCCCATCAACTGTATTAGATCTTTACACTCACGAAACCCCCTCATGCACCACACAGTTCTTCCAATGATGCTTTGTTTTCCTTTTGGCAATAAGCCCTTACATATATACAAATATCTTTCTTAGGCACCTTAAGCAAGGTTTTTACAGCATCTTCCTCAGTGTGAAGTCTGCAATACATTGTGTTAGTCCTCATCAACCTAAAGCCCTTTTGATTCTATGTCTAGCAAGGTAAGCCAATTAAGAAATATCAATGTTAAACATGAACATAGTTGTTAAAAGCGAGCCAGAGGAATGCCTAGGCTCTTAGGCTCAAGGTCTTGGCCTTTTGTAAAGTCGAGGCTAGGCATATTCACGAGTCTCACTAAGGCCCTGCACCTTCGCTGAGGCTCCTTGTGGGCCTAGGTGCATCTCACAAAGAGTTATTAAACCAAGTCAAACCCCAATATTAAATAAGTTTCCTCTTTTTCTTATCTCCTAGACTTCTTAAAAAAGAGTTATTAAATAGATGGCATAAGTCAAACCCTGATATTAAATACCCAGTTCTAGTTCTTATAACTTCAAGCCTCTTTCTCCCTCATGGTTCACGCCTATAAACCCTTCTCCCTTCTGCCTCTATCTAAGTATTGCTGGTTACTGCACCGGAGTACTTGCTACATATTGAGTTAGGTATAATTGTGTGTGTGTGTGTGTGTATATATTGTTTTTATAAGATGCGCCTCACACTCCTGAGGCCCGCACCACACGCCTCGCTCCTAGGCCCCAGGACCTCTTTGTGCCTAAGTGTGCCTTGAGCCTTTAACAACTTTGAACATGAAACTTGGAGAAACAAACAAGCTTACATTTAGTAGGGCAAGATCTTTAATTGCTTCTGTCATTGCAAGACACACAATATACTGCACAAGAGGCACCACACGACCATCTTCCATTTGTATTGTAAATGAAAAGAGAAGGCCACCCTTTGGAGATTCCCACACATTTTGCGATCTTCCTACAAGATTGAACTCGTTCTATAAGTCTATGGCTATTACATTGAAATTTATGCATTAAGACATGACTTTATGTTAGGGTACAAACAAAGATATAAAGACAGTCTAAATGATCCCACAGAACACATATAGTTCACAGATAACATACCTCGTCCTTTGAACTGAACATCTGCAATGCACACTGAACCTACTGGAATCTCACAATAGTTGCTGCATAAACATAAAAGTTTCAATGACAAAACTATAATACAAACAATATGAATTTCAAAAGCTTCTTGCACTTACAGAGAGACTACATCCTGAGTTGAAGGTAATCTTGGAGACCAAAGAAGAATTCTTCCAAAACATGTAGTCATAAGAGAACCCATGTAAGTGTCGATGTTAAATTCATCTTCTTCCAATTGCCTTTCCATCTCAGGTTGCAAAAAAGTCAAAAGCTTTACATCATCTGCAAGTCTAAGGCATGAATTTTCCTTCAAAGACTTTGCTAATTCCTGCTCGCTTGCTGATTTTCCATTTAGCACTAATAAACAAGGTGGTTGGGACTCCATTTTTGCTAGAAAAACAGGTCACGGTTATTATATGCATAAACATAAAAACGCCTGGTATATCACTGCAACCTTACGTTGCGAGTGTTAACCGTTTGAAAAGTATATATGTAAACAAACCTCGAGAGAGCAACATACTAAACCAACAACAAATAAATAACATAAATCACAAGTTCTGTGGAAGACCGTAAGTATTAGATTACCTGATGCAGTAGCTACTGAGAGCGAGAGATTGAAAATCTTCTTCTGAAAAGGTCGAGTAAAGGAGAAGGTCCGCTGTAGATCGAGAAAGCAGTGGAAGGAAGTTCGTAAGGAATTAATCAGCATTGACTGAGATATGCATTTAGAGATATGCTATGGCAGAGAGTAAATGGTGAGATATGCATTTAGAGACCTAATCCCCAACTTTCAAAGAGGCACCATGACGGCATTCTTCATCGTTCTTGGCCGGAGTGTTGGTGAGCGGGAAGGCGGCAGTGGAGGTGGTTGCGGCGTATTTGGGAACAGATGAACAGAGTAGCTTATAAAAACAAATCTAATACTCTATTACAATTCATTTCATAAAAACTCTTAAAATCGATTTTTTTTATTTACAAAGTACTATTTATTGATTCATATTACTTATTATTTAATATTGAAAATAGATTATACATAAGTAGAACTTATTAAAGTTCCATACTTAAATTCGTCTAACTAACTGCTGATAAACATAATCAAATATTGGATAAGCATCTCATTTTAAATATAAAAAAATTTAAAATATAATTAAGATAATTATTGACAATACAACAAAAAGAGGTTTATAGGACACTTTTCGAAAACCGTCCTTTAAAAAAGGCTAATACGACACATTAGTTTATGAGTCCTATTTGATTTAATCTTATATGACTCTTAATTTCGATGTTTTATTAACTTATCTTGACGTTCTATCATGTAATCTAATACAATACTTTTGAATGTCATATTATTTTATGGTTTAATATGACACCTTTAAGTATCGTATTATTTTAAAAATTAATAGGACAATATAAAGTTTAATATTATTGTAAATGTTAATATGATACTTTAAATTATCCTATTATTTTTAAAAGCTAATACAACACTTTTGGTTGTCCTATTAGATATTAAGAGCTAATAAGACACTTTTAAGTGTCCATTAAAGTTTAAAATAATATAAACAACTGGGCCTTAAGTGTCCAATTAATTTTGAATGAGAAAAAAGCATTGTTTCATGTTGAAAGCCCAAAACCTCAAGTTTTGAATTTTGGGCTAACAACCTCAAGTTGTTAAATTATGAATTAAGGCCCAGTTGTTTCAAGTTGAAAGCCCAAAACCTCAAGAGAAAAGCCTTGTGTCTCGTCGATTGCCATCATCGAGTCCTCTGCCTCCTTTGCACGTTGAAAACCTAGCACATCCAGCCGTGATGATCGTGAAAAGCGTTATTGGATGATCAAGATGGATCTTCAAATCATTTGCCAACAGATCACATTCAATGCCTCACACTCCAACAAGAATCAGGTAGAGATCAAACCTTTATCTGCCTCAATGCTACATCGATTAAAAGAGTATGATGAACTTGCAATTTTAATTGAAAAGCCCAAAATCATACAAATTTGATTATGATTTTCAAGAATTAAGAACAAGATGAAGATTAGAGAGAATATGATCACCAAATCTCTTGTAGATTTCTTGAGAGAGTTTACAGCACTAATCAGAATGATTACAGAATTTGTTACTGACAATTACAATGCTAATGACTATTTATACTAAGGAAAACATTAAACCTATCTATTACAAAGCTTAATAAAAGGAGAACTGAACTCGAATACAACAATAACGCACATACTTGAACCCAACATTCTCCTCCTTTGGATTCAAGTTCGAACTCTCGTAAATCTTGTCTTTTTGAGTCCGAGAAGTTTCTCCAGCCTCCTTAGTGCATTCCGATATTGAATTTTCTCCTCAAGTAGATTCAGGGCATTTATCAACAAATATCTATCTTTTGAACTCATCCTCTCCGACTTCGCAGCTTTATCATTATTCTCCTCGTGTCAAGTGCCCGTCTCACCAGTCTAATAGTACCATCAGAATACTTGTTTAGCTCGCTGAATCTCATAAACTTCTTTACTTGATGCTCAGCAAAGTATATCACCCTGAACTCTGGTTGTTCAAGAATCATGTAAACTGGATAGGCATCAATATCTTCTAACTTTTGATTAGGTCTCTTCAAATTGATGACTTTCTGACTATCTTCAAGACCCATCTGAACATCAATAACCATAGCCACCTTTACATGACTCCGCATAAATCTTTTAATTGCACTAAGGGCAACAAGAGCTCCATCCTTTCTGTTTTTCATGTTCCGGATCTCATGGTACATATACTCCAAGTCTTCTAAATATAAGTTTGAGAAGTCACCTTCACTAAATCTCCAGACCTTACCATCTTGTCGTGTCACCGTGAAGACCGGATACCAGACTCTGAGAAGTCTTTGAGCGTCAATTTGTTTAATTGACACGACTCAATGTTTGGTCCTTACTTCACAGATAGGGAAACGCTTGGCTTTAAGGAAGTGCTTGTACTCCAAGCGATATTATTTGGTTTCCTTGTGCATACCAAGAATTTTATCACCACTTAGAGCTTTACGATGTCGGAGGAAGATGTCAAAGTAGATGTCTTCAAGATAAGGCTCTCGGATTCTAGCCCTATCATATCCTGGAACATTAGCTCGAATAATGAATGGCACGTAATTCATCAAAAAATCTCTATCGGATCAAAAGGCTCTCTTGGAATAGGAATATCAGATGCACCAGCTTCAACTGCAGTGGATGATTCTGGCAATGTCTGACGATCACTCTGAAATGGGAAAACTGGGTCTTCATCATTGATGTCAGCTTCAAAGTCAAAATATAACCCGGATGACTCGTCAATATTCTCAATATCTTCTCCGAAATCTTGTTCTCCACCCAGTACAGTAGCAAAAATGTCATTAAACCCGACATTGGCAGACAAGTCCAGTAGCAACCTTGTTCCTACCGTGGAGTCCCCCGGCTTTTCAACCATTGGCTAGATCGCTGGACTTATCTCCAACTCTTCATCATCTTCTACAACAATCACCTCAATGATTCTTTCCTTTGTAGATTCCGGGGCAGAACCTTCAACATTCACGTCTTGAGTAGTTGGCTCTCTTTCACCACTTAGAGCTTGAGCAGACGACTCAGCCACCCTTTGCCTTTTCCTCTCCCCCTCATGATGATCTGGATCTTCCGTGTCATCATGCCCTCTTTTGAGTGTGGTGGCCTAAGCTCTGCACGTCTCTTCTAGAATAGATACCCGTCCAGAAAGGGCATCCATTGAGCTTTTAAGAACCTGGGTGTTTGATGTGATTAACTTACTAACTTTGGTGAAGCTAGAAGCAACCACATCCTGAAAGGCCAAAAAYTCTTAGGCTCGAACAAGGGGGTTTTCATCAATCTGTTGTCGTAGGAGCCCAACCAAATCTACATCTTCTGCATTGGGATTTTAGGATGCCATCAACTTATCATAAAGCAGGGATTTGAGTTCGTCCATCGATTGCTCTTGTACCGTCAGAGGCTCAGGTACAGGCGGTGGTGATGGCATAGATGGTTGCTCTTCTTCTACTTGCTCTTTCCCCTTCAACAGTCTTTTGATACTTGCAATTTGAGCATCCATATTGTCTTGAACAGCCTTTAGGGCGCCGTCCAGATATTCCCTTGACACAAAGTCTGGTAAACTAACACCTGGATCACTTAGATTACCAGTTGAAACAACAGTTGAGTAAACTGTTGTGCCTACGTTCAGTGTTGGCACAATGATATCACTGGTAGGCCTTCCGACCGGTCCTTGTGGGAGGTCAATCGACACCACTCTAGTTGTTCCGGCTAGTTCACTAAGAACTGCAATAGGAGCAACAGATGCTCGAGACTCATGTGTACCTATGTGTATCGGCTCTAGACTCGAGGTGCACGGAATCGAAGTCGTAGGCTGGGGCAGCGACCTACTTGTTTCAATAACTACATTCTCCATATGAGAAGTAGATAGCAGATGTGCTAAGTCCCCGTGTTCAAATGAAACAGCTGGTCTTTGAGAGCCAGTTGAGTGGTCAGGTTGGGTGTGCAAATGCATAGTTGGGCTAGCTATGTCTTGTTCAATACCAACATTCAACGAATGAATATCGATAGCAGATGTGGGTGCCCGGCTATGTGTATCCTCTAGGAAAGGAGCTTGATTTTGATTTTGTGCTCCACTTACATCCTCGCCATATTCTTCTATGTCCCGTTCACTCAACCTCTTAGCATTTTCTACTTCAGCTCCCTCATCTCCTTCTCCTATTGAAACATCTTGTAGAATACGATCATATTCGTCATATGTAGCTCCAAATTCATCAACATTAAACGATAACGAATACAGACTTGGACAAGTCTGTGGAGCATCAAAATTTGGAAAGATATCGTCAATGTTATCAACCACTGCTCCAAGTTGAATGTTCTGTGAAAGCATCGGTTGAGCAAGGTTGTCAGCATCGTCATCATCATCATCATCATCATCATCATCATCATCATTATCATTATTGTCACCCAGAGCTGCCTGATTGTCGGATACAGTATCTTCTGAACTTAAATCGGACAAGAGGTGTCCGATTTAGAGAATAAGAATCAACCAAGTGATAATCCGGACATTAAATCGCTCAAGGCATAGGTGATTTAGAAGAACACCGGTCAAGACTCATCCGGTTTAAGAATAAACCGCTTAAGAGTCAATCGATTTAGAGATAAATCGCACAACAAAGGAACTAAATCGCTCAAGTGAAGGATTAAATCGCTCAACAAATAAACGATTTAAGGACTTGAAAAGCACAAAAGAGACAAGCGATTTAGGAATCCGGTCAAATCAATTAAGCGATTTAGAAATCCGCTCAATCCCTTGTAAACATATCTAACCTTATCCGGATAAGAGTTTATCATATAGCTTTTTGTCCAGATTAGTCTAAATCGAACAAGTGTTGTCCGGATTTGCAATAAATCGGACAAGTGCTGTCCGGATTAGTCTAAATCAGCCAAACACTTATATTTTTAAACTCTACATCTTTCAAAAATTAGATAATGTTTAAAATACCTGTAAGAAAATTTTAAACTGTTAGTCCAAAACAGATAAAATCACTCCCCCTCAAAATATGATCAGATAATCAACGACAGATAAAAAACCACACTTCCCCTCAAATATAGATTCTCACGATCAAGAAATTTAAAATCAGATAGAAAAATTGAAATACTGATTTGTATTAAAAAATACAGATATTTGACCAAATGAATTTGAATTAAATATAATTCAAGAAATTGAACTGTTTTTAGTAAAAATTCAAATTTCCAAATTTAGCATACCTAACTTAGATAAAAGCTAAAGCGTTTTTCATCTAAAGCTTTCGTAAATAAGTCAGCTAATTGAAATTATGTATTTACAAAATACAGTTCAATG